TCCTTGCTCATTCTTCTTAACGCTGCCATATTGGGGGCTCTTTCAGGGTCAGGGAAATGAGGCCCATTGTTTTTGGGCATATCGAATATGCTACCGGTAGCTTGCTAAGGCTCTGTCGTGTGGGCGGGATACTCTCAGTAGCTTGCCATGCTCTCCGAGAGGGATGGAGGTTTTTAGAGCGGCCTCTAATCACCCTTCCAGGTGTTCCCATGGTTCACACCATATTTGAACCCCATCAAATATGTTGCTGTAATTATGCCAAATGAGTATTAAGTGTCTTATTATGTGTCTCACGGCTGCTTTGCAGCTGCTTTGCAGCTGCGTGGTCCAGGAAGCAGCCTGGAGCTTGGCGGCGCTGGGTAGTGGAGGTAGTGGAGGTTGTGATGAGGTATTTATCTGGCACCAACAGGAGGGTCTTCTGGGTGTAATCCCTGATCCCTGAGTCACCGGAGATTGGTGGAAGCAGGCAAAGGATCTCTGTTTCTGGGTCCTGTTGAGCCTTGAGTCCAAGGTCACAAAGTTCTGCTTTACCTGATTCTGTGGGTCTTCACTCATGCGTGAGGCTTGGCCCAAGCATCCAGAAAGTGGCCTGGAGCATGGCGGTGGCTGGGTACTAATTGGCTACTAATGAAAAAAAATGTATACCTTAGACTTACTCCTAAGAAGTATTTCATCATTGGGAGCAAAAACATTAACACATGACATTAATACATGAATCACTTATTGAATCACTTATGTGGAATAGGTAAATCCCAAAATAGGAGGGTACACTATCTCTCTTAACTTCAGTTTTAGCATCATCAACACAAGTTGAATTACTTGGAGCTTCAGTATCTCCACAGATATAGGTCATTGCAATTGTACCACATTGAAGAAGAAAAACATAACCAAGTGAAATACATGGCAAAAACATACATAATAAGGTCCTAAGCGCCAAAAACTGAGGAACATCTTTGTCTCAGGTCTACTCAGAAAATCCCTACTTAAGACAATCATAGTGACTTTAGTCAAAAACTGTTAATAAGTGTTGTCAATGTCCTGGTGAAATTTGCTGGTTTGTATATAACCTCGTGTTTTTTAAGTGCTTGTGTATATTAACAAAAGAAATTAGGAAATTCTAAGTTTCATAAAGCTGCTCATAGCAGATCTGACAACTCTGAGAACTTCATAGCACTGCAGCACTGTCCTCCCGTTGTTTATTGATTTGCTCAAGTGGGCACCAGTAAGTTCTCCATTGTGAGACTTGTTGTTTCTGTTTTTGGCCACGGAGCTTGCCAGGCTCTGCTGTGCGGGCAGGATACTCTCGGTAGCTTGCTGGGTTCTCCAAAAGGGATGGAGGAATCGAACCTGGGTAGACCAAAATGCAAGGGAAATGCCCTACACGCTCTGCTATCACTCCAGGCTGGAGAACTTCATAATGGCTTGTAAATTCTTTGAGGTTCCTGGTCATTTTCATTAATAAAATTTAGAATATCTGACCTTCAGTGGGCTGGAGCGATAACACAGCGGTAGGGCGTTTGCCTTGCATGCAGCCAACATGGCCAACCCAAGTTCGATTCCTCTGCCCCTCTCAAAGAGCCCGGCAAGCTACTGAGAGTATCTCGGCTGCACGGCAAAGCCTGGCAAGCTCCCCGTGACGTATTCGATATGCCAAACACAGTAACAACAAGTCTCACGATGGAGACATTACTGGGTCTGCTCGAGCGAATTGATGAACAACGGGCGAATAGTGACAGTGACAGTGACCTTCAGTAATGCCACGAATACTTACCATTTTCTAGTTGAAATCTAATACTAAAAGTAGCCTTTGAGAACCAGAAAACTCTGACATATTGGAAACCACGGGCTCCAAAAAGATTTCAGGTTTACAAAGGCATCTCATGCTTAGAAATGTGTGGGTTTAGATTTTTTTAGAGAGGATGGCTGAAATATGCAAACTTGGTCATGAAACATTAATGGGAAATAATGAAACTTTTTTGGCATTCTGAGTCACTACAAAGGAGACACTTGATTTGAAGTCTATGCAATCTGCACTGCACCTTCCCTAATTAGGTATATGGGACTAAATATGAAGATGAGTTGAGTAATTTCTTAACACAACAGCAAAAATTTCTCTTGGTGATTCGGCCCAGAGAAGAGCAAGCAATGACGCTTTCTTCATATCAGAGGCTTAAGCTCTGTGAAGGCAGGACTGGCTCTTTCTAAGTGATAGCAGAGCATGTAGACAGCCTCCACCAAGTGATTTGTTATTCATAGGTTCATACAGTGTCACTGGAGAATAAACAGAGGAAGAGTGATTGTTGTTGCTGTTCAAGGAGGTCCTTTAAGCTAGATTTTGGGTTGAAGCATCAGAAACCCAAGCTCTTAGCAGCATAAAACAGTGTCTTATTACAGTGGAATCGACAGAGGAACCCAGGCATGCAGGTCCCAGGGCTGAGGATCTCCAAGCCTGCTCGGATCGGGACTTGGCCTTCTCCACCCAGATCCCCCATCTTCCAGTAGGTAGGCATTACACCCACAAGCTGCTGCTGGCACCAGGTGGTCCCATCAACGGCCAAGACCCAAAGACTATAACACCCAGCACCCAGCTCTTATTATCTCATTTTTATTTTGGAGAACCCAGCAAGCTACCGAAAGTATCCTGCCCGCACGGCAGAGTCTGGCAAACTTCCCATGTCAGACTCAATATGTCAAATACCAGTAACACTGATAGGTCTCATTCTCCTAGCCCTCAAAGAGCATTGAATATGGCTCTTTTAAAATCTCAGGGCTAGGAAGAAGGAGACGTTACTGGTGCCTGCTCGAGGCAAACGACGAACAGGATGATCGTGATCATTATTACAGTGGAGGCAGTTCAGAGGCAGTTGGATGAAAGAAATATAAAGTTTAAAAAATAAAAATAAATAAAAAGTAAGGTGGGGTGAGGTACTGGGGTTGGACTGAACCATCAAGTTGAGCCCATGTAGACTGTACCGTACAAAGGGAAGAAACATAGGGATCCATGAAAATGGGCAAGATTTCTCGTGTGTCCTGACTGGCTTGGATGAGGTGGAACATGTTTTTCTTTTGGCTGCCTTAGTAAATTTCATAAATTTCAGTATACTGAAACTGTCAGTTGTCCTTTTCTCACAGATCCCTGATGCTTACTTAGCTTGTTTGTTGTCAGTATGCAGATCCTAGGTACTTAGCTTGTTTGTTGTCAGTATGCAGACCCTAGGTACTTTGTTTGTTTTCAGTATGCAGAAAAGCTTTCAGCTTTGCATATTCTTCCTGTAATTCCTTTGTTGATGACCTCACTGTGGAGGCAGTTCAGAGGCATTGGGATGAAAGAAGTATAAAGTTTAAAGCCCTTCAGAGTATGAACTGTAAGATGGTAATAAAAGGAGATTTCAGGGCTCTCTACCTTGGTCACATGTCTAAGAGAACCTGGACCCTCCACGACATAAATTTCTTTCGCGTTCCTTGTCTCAGTGCCTCTGACTGAAGGAACGTTCACACAACAGTGAGGGACACTGGGATAATGGTGGAGGAAGGTAAACAGCTGAGTCGAGGGTGTGGTGCTGGAGTATTTCATGCATGAAACCCTGCTAATAATTTGTAAATCACAGTGTGCAAAGTAAAACAATTTTTTAACTAATAATATTCTGTAAATTTTTTAGAATGTAGAAGGAATTTATACTTTAAAATAATCAAGAAAGTGAAAAAAACAACCATACAATGGAAAAAATATTTGCAAATAACTTCTCTGTTGAGTGGCTACTGTCCAGAATATGTAATCTTAAATATAAAGTGTATATAACTAAGTGTATAACAATATATAACTAAAATGAGTAGTCCGAAGAAAAAATTTCTTCAGAGAAGATATAAATATGTGAAAACATGCTCAACATCATTTGTCACTAAAGAAATGAAAATTAAAACCAAATGAACCCTTTTGAGATATGAGAATGCTGAAATCAAGATGACAGGAAATAACAAATATTGGTAAGAGTGTGGAAAACATATTATTGATGAAAATGTACAATGGTATAGTTGTTCTGGGAAAGTTTGGCAGTTCTCCAAAAGGCTAAATATAAAGTTGGTCTGTGACTCAGCAGTTCCATCCAAGCCATATAATCCCCAAATGCAAACATATGTCCACAATGTAACCTATATATATAAAAGTCCAAGAAGTGAAATTAATCTAAATGTCCATAAAAAGGAGGGCAACTGAGATTCCACAACCTGGACAGCAGTCATGTGGGCATGGGTACCCACTCGGCCAGAATTTATGATTGTCTTTAAATCAGTGTTTCTTTTAAAACCTAAGGGTGTGCATAGAGCCCTGGAGGAAATGGGCAGAAATCCACCCCTGCAGGTGCGATTGTGCTAACGACTTCATGCCTTTTGCCTCATCCCTGAATCCTCACCCAGCTGTGAGCCAGAATAGTCTTGGATTCACAATTCATCCTACAGAGTGGGAGGGAGAGGGTAGGGGAAATGATAAAATGACTGCAACAGGCTTTGACTGCAACAGGCTTGGCAGAATGGGCTTGTTGGAGCTGTAAAGTAAGGAGCGATAGCACAACGGTAGGGCGTTCGCCTTACAAGTGGCCAACATGACCGACCCGAGTTCGATTCCTCCGCCCCTCTCGGAGAGCCCGGCAAGCTACCGAGAGTATTCGATATGCCAGACAAAGTAACAACAAAGTCTCCAATGGAGATGTTACTGGGCCCGCTCGAGCAAATCGATGATCAACGGGAGGGCCTTTACTTACTTGGAGCTGTATAGGTATTTTTTTAATTTGATCATTTAAAAATATTTTTAATTGAATCATAAAAAACACAATGGAAAAGTTGTTCATAATTGGGTTTCAGTCCTACAATGTTTCAACACCAGTCCCTTCACTAGTGCACATTTCCTGCCACCAATGTCCTTAGTTTCCTTCCTGCCCCAAAACTTGACACTTTCTCTCTCTCTCTCTCTCTCTCTCTCTCTCTCTCTCTCTCTCTTAAAGGAAACTACCAAAATTGCATCCTCTCCCTCTCCCTCTTCCAAGGAAAGATCTGAACAACATCAGTAGCAAAAGGCAGAGGCAGCACCTGGAGCCAGCATCATGATCACAAGAGGATGCTCTCACTCCTCCTCACAGTTTGGGGTCCTCCATGTGAAAAATTTCTACAGAGAAACATCCCTATCAATGAACTATAGAAAGGATACCTGAAAGTATAATTTTTTAGGTTTTTCTAATTTTTTAAAAGGGTGCTTAAAATAAACTTTGGGCTCATTTTCTAGAAAATATAAGCAGTTAGATTTTGGCACACCTTGCAGTCTGAATCCATAGAAGTCATGCCACTTCATTTTATTAGTTAAAAAAGATACTAGAAAGTTTTCCATATACTGATATGTCTTAAGACAAAACGGAAACATCAAGCCCCAAAGAAAAGCCAACACTATTTTTTTTAAACGTTGAAGGCTATTTTAGAACTGTGGAATTTCCTCCCAAAAGTTTCTATTAAAATATCTCTACTGAAAAACTCTGCCTTGTTTTTTTTCTTTAAAAAAAAAAAGAACAAATTTAAAGTGAAGGAAAGCTGAATGTAACTATACTACAACATACCGAATAGTGAAATAACACAAAATTGTGATCAATTTATAGAGATGTTTGATAGTCTACATTTTATTTAATTATGCACTTATGAAATATATGGGCTGGAGCGATAGCACAGCGGGTAGGGCTTTCGCCTTACAAGCGGCCAACATGGCCGACCCGAGTTCAATTCCTCCGCCCCTCTCGGAGAGCCCGGCAAGCTACCAAGAGTATTCGATATGCCAAACACAGTAACAACAAAGTCTCCAATGGAGACGTTACTGGGCCCGCTTGAGCAAATCGATGATCAACGAGAGGGCCTTTACCTTTACCTTACCTTTATGAAATATAAATAACATATCCTCCAATTACAGCACAGCAGTAGGGTGTTTGCCTTGCGTGCAGCCGCCAGCCTAGCCGGGTTCGATTCCTCCATCTCTCTCAGAAAGCCTGGCAAGCTGCCAAGAGTATCTCGCTCACACAGCAAAGCCTGGCAAGGTGACGTATTTGATATGCCAAAAACAGTAACAAGTCTCACAATGGAGACGTTACTGGGCCTGCTTGAGCAAATCGATGAACAATGGGAGGACAGTGCTACAGTGCTACAGTGCTACTATTTCTTGTAAAGTTTTCAGCAAGTATCATTGGTTTTCAGAAAACTGATTTTGACATATTCAATAAATTCTGGTGGGCAAGTAGGTGTGGGTCCGGTTCTACTACCAGCTCTGTGAGTCTGCCCTCTACGTGGCATATGCAAACCCTTGTATATGGATGTCTTCATCTCCTTACCTTTAAATTACTGGAGAGTAAGATGATCTCCTGGCCTTTCCTGATTTCATATGCTTTCATTTAACTTTTTTTTTTATTAGTGAGACATCATGAGGTACACTCGTAGACTTACAAATTTTTGTGCTTGGGTTTCAATTATACAATGATCAAATACCCATCCCTCCACCAGTGCCCATTTCCCACCACCACGGATCCAGTATCCCTCCCACCCCCCATCCCCCCCATCCCACCCTGTCTCTGTGGCAGGGCATTTCTAGGAATGCTCTTTTGTAACAGTGTGCCAGAACCTCTTCTGACCTTTGCATGCTATATTTCCCACTCCTTGCAAGCCCGAGTGGTGATTGGTCTCTTTACACAAGAGAAAACATGCAGGTCAGTAACTCACCTGCAGCCAAGCTGTGTAGATTTGATTCCCTCTTTACCCAATTCCACTTCTCACATGACACTCGAGGGGCAAAAATTCCATCATTTTCTTCTGTTGTGTGTTTTTTAGAAATACTAGAGTTAAAGCAAATGTGTGCTGCAAGGGAAGCCTAAATACAGTAGTAAAAAAGAAAAAGATTCGGCCCATTTTCTTTTTCCCAAGAATTGCTTTAGCTATTCGTGGGAGCATATTGTTCCATATAAATTTCAGGAGTTTTTGCTCCATTTCTTTGAAGAATGTTATGGGTATTCTATTAGGGATTGCATTGAATTTGTACACTGCGTTGGGAAGTATTGCCATTTTGACAAATTTAATTCTCCCCATCTATGAACAGAGGATATTTTTCCATTTCCTCGTGTCCTCTTTTATTTCTTGAAGTAGTGTTTTGTAGTTTTCTTTGTACAGGTTGTTTATTTCCTTAGTTTAGCTGATTCCTGGGTACTTGATTTTCTGGGGCACAATTGTGAATGGGATTGTTTTCTTCATGTCATTTTCCTCTCTTTCACTATTTGCATATAGCAAAGCCATAGACTTTTGGGTATTGATTTTATAGCCTACTACTTTACTATACAAGTCTATTGTTTCTAGGAGTTTCTTGGTAGAGTTTTAGGGTTCTGTATGTATAGTATCATATCATCGGCGAATAGTGAGGGCTTGATTTCTTCCTTTCCTACCTGGATGCACTTAATATCTTTTTCGTGCCTAATAGTTACTGCAACTACTTCCAGTACTATATTGAACAGTAGTGGAAAGAGTGGACATCCTTTTGTCGTCCCTGATCTTACGGGGAAGGCTCTCAGTTTTTCCCCATTGAGGATGATGCTTGCTGTAGGCTTGTGGTAGATAGCTTTAACTATGTTGAGCAAAGTCCCCTCTATCCCCATTTTGGTGAGGATTTTCATCATAAATGGGTGCTGGATCTTGTCAAATGCTTTCTCTGCATCTACTGATATGATCATATGATTTTTTCTTTTCTTTTGTTGATATGATGGATTATTTTGATTGATTTCCAAATGTTAAACCATTCTTGCATCCCCTGAATGAATCCTACTTGCTTGGCCAGTGTCATGACATCTTTGTTCATGGTGTATGAATTTTTTTTTGATGAGTAGTTGAATTTTATTTCCTAGTGTTTTGTTGAGAATCTTCATATCCATGTTCATCAGGGATATCGGCCTGTAGTTTTCTTTTTTTCTGGTGTCTTTGCTTCCTTTTGGTATTAGAGAGATATGGACTTCATAGAAACTGTTCAGGGGAGTTTTTATTTTTTCAATTTTCTGGAAAAGCTTAAGAAGCTCTGGCAATAGGTCCTCTTTAAATGTTTGGAAAAATTCTCTAGTGAATCCTTCTGGACCTGGGCTTTTTTTTGGGGGGAAGACTTTTAATTATAGTTTCAATTTCCTTGATGTTAATAGGTCTGTTCAGATACTCTAGATCTTCTTGATTCAGCTTTGGGAGATTATAGGAATCCAGGAATTTATCCATTTCTTCTAGGTTCGCATTTCGTGGCATACAAACTTTCAAAGTAGTCTCTGATGATCTTTTGGATTTCTTTGGTTTCTGTTGTGATATCCCCCTTCTCATTTCTGATTTGGTTTATTAGGGTTCTCTCTCTCTATGTTTCTTTGTGAGTGTTGCTAGTGTTTTATCTATCTTGTTTATTTTCTCGAAGAACCAGATCTTGGTTTCATTGATCTTTCGGATTGTATATTTCGTTTTCTTGTCAATGATTTCTGCTCTAAGTTTTATGATCTCTTTCCTTCTGCTTGATTTAGGCTCTTTCTGTTGATCCTTTTCTAAGTTCTTGAGCTGTGAGGTCAAGTTGTTTATGTGCATCCTTTCTACAGTCCTAAGATATGCTTGCAGAGCTATAAATTTTCCCTTTAATACGGCTTTCGCTGCATCCCATAAATTCTGGTAGCTCATGTTTTCAGTCTTATTCATTTCCAGGTATCTTTTGATTTTGTCCTTGACTTCCTTCCTGACCCACTCATTGTTCAGCATTGAGTTGTTTAATTTCCAGGTGTTTGATTTGGTTCTCCGTGTCTGTGTGTGATTCACTTCTATCCTCAGTGCATTGTGGCCTGAAAAGATGGTTGATACTATTTCTATCTTCCTGATTCTATTCAGGTATGTTTTGTGGCCTAGCACATGGTCTATTTTGGAAAATGTTCTGTGCGCACTCGAGAAGAATGTGTATTCTTTCTTTTTGGGGTGTAAATCCCTGTATAGGTCTATAAGCCCTTTCTCTTCTATTTCTTCTTACAAAGCCAATGATTCCTTGTTGAGTTTTGTTCTTGTTGATCTATCCAGAGATGATAAAGCGATGTTGAAGTCCCCAGCTACTATTGTATTGCTAGCAATCACGGAGATCACAGTCCTCCCGTTGTTCATCGATTTACTCGAGCGGGACCAGTAACGTCTCCATCATTAGACTTGTTGTTACTGTGTTTGGCATATCGAATACATCACAGGTAGCTTGCCAGGCTCTGCCATGCTGGCGAGATACTCTCGGTAGCTTGCCGGGCTCTCTGAGAGGGGTGGAGGAATCAAACTCGGTTCGGCCATGTTGGCCGCTTGTAAGGCAAACGCCCTACTGCTGTGCTATGGCTCCAGCATATCCTCCTTAAAATCTGTTAGCAGTTGTTTTAAATATTTAGCTGTTCCCTCATTAGGTGCGTATACATTTAAGAGTGTGATTTCTTCCTGTTGTATATATCCCTTGATGAAGAGAAAATAGACTTCGTTGTCCCTTCTAATCTTTTTCAACGTGAAATTAATGTTGTCGGATACTAGTACGGCCACCCCAGCTTTTTTAGGGAGCTGTTTGCTTGCAGGATAGTTTTCCATCCTTTGACTGTGAGTCTGTGTTTGCTCTGAGTGTTGAGATGAGTTTCTTGTAGGCAGCAGAATGTTGGGTTCTGTCTTTTAATCCATTTTTCCACTATGTGTTTCTTACATGGTGAATTTAGACCATTGACATTGAGAGAGATTACTGTTGTGGGGTTTTGTGTCATCTTTTTGTAAGGGTCTGCTGGGGTTGAAGGGGTTGTCTTGTCTTATAGTAGCTCCTTTAACCCTTCTTTTAGGTTTGGTTTTGATTCTATGAAGTTCCTGAGCTGCCGTTTATCTAGAAAATAGTGTCCCATTCCTTCGATTTGGAGAGAGAGTTTAGCTGGATAGAGTATTCTTGGTGAACCATTCATTTCAGTGAGTGTTTTTCACTATATCCTGCCATTCTCTTCAGGCTTGGAGGGTTTCCTCTGATAGGTCTGCTGTGAACTAATGGGTGCTCCTTTGTATGTGATTTCCTTCTTTTCTCTTGCTGCTTGCAGTATTGTGTCTCTCTTGGCAGCATCCATCATTCTAACTATGATATGTCTTGGAGTGTTTTTGTTAGGGCCTCTTTTAGTTGACACCCTTCAGGCTCCTT